TATGTGGTATCCAAAAGTTTTCAGTTATTAAAGAAATAATTTGCACTAGTTATGCAACCACAATATATGCATTGTTCACTGCCACATCCATAGCATCTAAAGAGCTAGGGTTTAAAAGTCATGCACTAACATGATGAGGAAGTAAATGAATGGTGAATTTGTCTTTTTAACTACATATATTTGTGTCTTTAACAAATTTGAGGTGAGAGTCTGACCTTATTTTTAGTTTCAAGGTAATATTTCAAATGCATATGATCTATTAATTATAATCCTTCAGTTGAGAAGAGGTTTTAATGAAGCAACTTTTCAACTTGCTGTGTCACAGATTACTGACTTTTAGCATCCTAACTCTGGAATATGTCTCATTTTATAATACCTGTCTACAATGACATTTCCTATTTTAAAATTTTTTCAGCAGTTTCCAACTTACTTCTACTTACTTCAATAGCTGTCTTTGGCAATTTGTTCCATATTTCAAACACACTTTTATATAAAGAAACCATAAAAGTTAGAATCCTGAAAAATTGGATTTTCCTTCTGAGCAATCACAACTTAAAAATGTAGAAGATTCAGCAACAGCTTTGACAGTCTATAATGCAGAGGCTTTCAGAGGCCCTCTGTAGCAGGTTCCTAGGTTGTTTCCTATTTTCTTTTTCTTCTGATGTCCATCCTCTTTGCCTTTCAGGATGGGGATGGGCAGAGTGAATGGAATTTTATGTAAGAAGTGGGAAATAGTAAGAGCTGGAGGGGACAGGAACTCCACAAGCAGAGCAACAGAACAAGATAATTTGAACACAGGGAACTTCCCAGAAAATCATACTCCAAACAAGGACTATTCGTAGATGACCTAGAACTCCTGCACAGATGTAGCCCATGGCAGTTCAGTGTCCAAGTGAGTTACATAGTAATGGGAAGAGGGATTGCCACTGACATAATCTGATTGGCCTGCTCTTTGATCACCTCCCCCTGAGGGGGGAGCAGCCTTACCAGGCCACGGTAGAGGACAATGCATCCACTTTTGATGAGAACTGATAGACTAAGATCAGAAAGGAGAGGAGAACCTCCCCTATCAGTGGACATGGGGAGTGGCATGCATGCAGAAAGGAGAGGGAGAGTGGGATCGGGAGGGGAGGAGGGAGGGGCTTATGGGGGGATACAAAATGAATAAAGTGTAATTAATAAAAAATTTTAAAAAATGTAGAAGATATCTTAAAAGCTAGCCCCTCTGATTTTTCAATAAACACAAAAAAATATGCTCTAAATAAATAGAAAATGGTTTGATAAGTTTTTCATGCTATTTTAATATTACCAGAAGTCATTTCATTAAATTGGAAAACTGATATTTTCACCTATTCACAAAGAAAATGCAAAATAATGATCAAGATTTGCCCTTTCCAACATTAAATTCTTAAAATATTATTTCATTTTCCTCTGGAGCCAGTCTGGATGAGACCTGATAGGTTAGGGTCAAATGGAAGGGGAGGAGGACCTCCCCTCTCAGTGGACTTGGATAGTTGCATGGGAGGAGATGAGGGAGAAAGAGTGGGATTTGGAGGGAATGAGAGAAGGGGCTACAGCTGGGATACAAAGTGAATAAACTGTCATTAATATAAAAATTAAAATTAAAAATATTTTGTGTCAAAGGGCATAAAAGATAAATAAGATTCACATATATTTCTAGAGACCATATTTCATCTTTTCACTTTATTATTAGCACATTAAAGTCTCACAGTTTCTAGTTTAGTTATTAAAAGAACAAAAATAAGAGATAAAGTGTGGCCAAGGGAGCAGTTAGGCTAAGAAAGATCTTCACTTCTCCCTATTCTCCAAATCGAATTCCCTAGTTTCATCACCAATTCTGCAGCAGACTGCAGTCTCCCTTCTTTCCCTACCTCTTTCCCCAAGTAGATCACAAAATCTTTTACTTCCACACTCAATGATTTATCCCAGTCCCCAACTCTAACAGGCACTTTCTGGGAGTTCTAAGGCTAATCTGACAAGGGAAACAGGCTAACTAAAGATCTTCATTTTTATTTGAAAGGAAGAAGTCAAAGTATCTTTATTTGCATATGATATGATATTATACATAAGTGATGCTTAAAATCCCATCAGGAAATTCCTACAGCTGATGATCATTTTCAAAAAGTAGCTGGTTATAAAATTAACTCAAAAGAAAATCAGTTTCATATGGAAACACACACACACACACAAAGAAAGAGAGAGAGAAAAGAGAGAGAGAACTATCCAGAATATTCTAGAGTCTTTCTTTGGTGCAGGAAGGTACTCTGAATATAAACACCTATGTGCTAATGTCTTTGGTACTGTAAAGTCCTCTGCATGCTACCAAATGGGAAATATAAATACCAACCCAGCTCCAAACATCATGATCTACAATGTTTTCCTGCCCGCAAAATATGCTAATGCAATGGTATAACAAAACTTGTGGGAGTAACCAACTGGTATCTGTTTATATTTAACTCCCACTCCATGACATAGAATTCATACCCAACATGGCTAGGATGACCAAGAATCTTGGACTAAATAGCCTAAGGACCTAGGATCAAAAATAAATAAATAAAATTAAAATGCACATATGACATCTGTCAGAGTAGTTATAAATTAATAGTATTATTTATAACACCAAATTAAAGTAAAAATATATTAAGTTTTAGAACAAGAACATATTTTGTTTTTATTATTAAGATTTGGGGCATTGAATATAGAGACTAAGATGACAAATAGAGGAACTTGATGCTTTCAGGAAAAAGGAAATCCTTATAGATTTACACTGATACCTACATTTTTTAGTGTTACTTTACTATTTTGCATGGTTTTAAAAAATCACTATTAAATCAAAATTATTTATATGAAGGCTTGAGAAATGTCTCAGTGTTTAAGATTGCTTTGCTGCACAACTATAAAGATTCAAGTTCCCATTCCAGTTTCTACGATTTCATCTCCCAAGGGATAAAAAAAATAAGATCACTGAGGCTTTCTGAAAATTATGGGTTGTACATTCTTGTAAAGACCCTTTCTCAAAGTAATAAGGCAGAGATAGATAAATGTGGACACCTGACACTATGATTTCTATGTGCATATAAGATATGTGACAACATTGGCACGCATGTGTGTACATATACCACGTGCATCACATATACACCAAAGCATTTATATAAAAGAAGACTCTGGATACTAGTGTTTAAGTGATGCTCTCCAAACACTTTTAATCAAATGGTGAGTTAGAAAATTTATTACAAATCAGTGTTAAGAGCTATTCACATTTTCATTAGGATCAACAAAGTTTGGTAATTATTATGGTCAGGCAACTTTAAGGAATCCTGCTGCATTTCATCTATATCACCTTCTCATTTTATATGTAATGAAATTCAGTTACAAAAAATTAAATAATATATCTTAAATATGTATAAGATTTTTATGTTTCTAAAGTATGTAATTATTTTACCTTAGTATCTCAGCTTGATGATATTACAAATATAACTAACACTTCTAAACTGCACTGCCATAAGTCAAATTACATTTCTTAAAAATTGGACTAACCCAGACATTCTGAAATGACTCTGTCTTAGTTCTTAGGTAGTGAGGCAAGTCTCTAATTAACATTTTCATTTGAAATCAACTTGTGTCTAAGCGTGAAACACATTTCACATTCAGTTATTTTCTTTTTTTTTTTTGTATTTTTGCAGAGACTCTGTTAGTTTATTTTATTTTATTAATTATACTTTATTCACTTTGTATCCCCACATAAACTCCTCCCTCCTCCCCTCCCGGACCCACCTTCCCTCCCTCCCTTTTCTTCACGCATGCCCCTCCCCAAGTCTACTGAAAAGGGAGGTCCTCCTCTCCTTCCTTCTGATCTTAGTCTATCAGATCACATCAGGAGTGGCTGCATTGTCATCTTCTGTGGTATGGTAAGGCTGTTCCCCCCTCAGTTGGAGGTGATCAAAGAGCAGGCCAATCAGACTATGTCAGAGGCAGTCCCTCTTCCTATTACTATGTAACCCACTTGGACACTAAACTGCCATGGGCTACATCTGTGAAGGGGTTTTAGGTTATCTCCATGCCTGGTACTTGGTTGGAGTATGGGTCTCTGGGAAGACTCCTGTGTTCAAATTTTCTGGTTCTGTTGCTCTCCTTGTGGAATTCCTGTCTTCTCCAGATCTTATTATTTTCCACTTCTTACGTAAGATTCCATGCACTCTGCCTATATAGCCTTGAAGACTGGAGATTCATATCCAGTCACATCTTTTCCATTTCTAAAGTGTTTTGGCTGGGTTGAAAATAGCACTTTTCAAACAACCTAGGAACCTGCCACAGAAGGCCTCTGAAAGGCTCTGCCCTGCAGACTATCAAAGCAGACATTGAGACTTATGGCCAACTGTTGGGCAGAGTGCATGGAATCTTATGTAAGAAGTGGGAAATAGTGGTTATGGAGAGGACAGGAACCCCACAAGGAGAGCAACAGATCTAGAAGATTTGAACACAGGTGTCTTCCCATAGACCCATACTCCAACCAAGGACTATTCATGGAGATAACCTGGAACCCCTGTGCAGATGTAATCCATGGCAGTTTAGTGTCTAAGTGGGTTACATAGTAGTGGGAAGAGGGACTGCCTCTGACATAATCTGATTGGCCTGCTCTTTGATCACCTCCCCCTGAGGGAAGCGCAGTCTTACCAAACCACAGAAGATGACAATGCAGCCATTCCTGATGAGATCTGATAGACTAAGATCAGAAAGAAGGAGAGGAGGACCTCCCCTATCAGTGGACTTGGGGAGGGGCATGCATGAAGAAGGGGGAGGGAGTGTGGGATCGGGAGGGCAAGAGGGAGGGGTTTATGGGGGGATACAACGTGAATAAAGTGTAAAAATAATAATAATAATAGTTAAAAAAAAGAAAATGGCACTTTTCCTTTTTGCTATATAAAAGGAATATACAATGCTGGAGAACTCTCAATGCAAGAGATCTTTTCTTTTTTCAGGCAACACTGCAAGATTTTGAACAGAGACGCTCCCAGTTGGAAGAACTTATTACTGCTGCCCAGAATTTGAAAAACAAAACCAGCAATCAAGAAGCTAGAACAGTCATTACTGACCGAAGTAAGTCTCTTAATGGGCCAGGGAAAATAAAGGCCAGATGCATGAAAATATCCATAACAGCTCAAAGTATAGAAAATGTAAAATACTTCAATATAATAACTATTTCACTGTAGAACAGTTTTAGTATGTAAAATCATACAATAACAGAGTGTAATTCCAATGAATTGAAAATGTATGATTTTCATGAACTTAAGGTTTGTGTAGCCTAAAGGCATTGCATAGTGAATGTGGTGAACATATTGTGGAGGAATAGTGACTCCTTAGTTATTGTCTATTTGAGCTCGTATTCATGGGGATACCTCTCTCTCTCTCTCTCTCTCTCTCTCTCTCTCTCTCTGTCTTTCTCTCTCATATTATTGGTTGCAGGGCTAGGCCAACACTTATTTCCTAAACTATCTTTAATATCTGTCTGCAATAGCTATCATTTATTAGGTTTCTTATAAAGTACATGTATATATAAAGTTTTCACAAAGTCACCTTATGCAATTTCACAGTATATTGTTGGTAAAAAAGTAACTGGGTTCCCAGTTACTAAAATTGTTCCAGCTTTCAAAATAAAGAACAATGCTTAGATTTGCAAGACTCTTTCTGGCTTGGCAACCCATGCCTTTTAGTAAATTATCCTTTCCTTTTTTTCTTCTTCTTCCTGTTTTTAATGTGACCACTAGAATGAAATTATTTATGTCCTGTGATTTGGTATGTCTTGATTCATTTATAGAAACACTGTCTCTTTCATTTGTAGTTGTATTAATTTAAATAGCCTCTTCACATTTGTGAAATCTAAACTCTAAATATGTTTCAAACTATGAATTTGTATATAAAGTAATATACTGTGTGAACAATATTAACAATTGTGACTAGTAAATTCCCACATCTTGCTGGATTACTGTAGTAAAAGTTTACCATTTTTACATTTCCAAAATGCCCTTTATGAAATAATCTGAAAACCAATTCTCTTATACATTTTTGTATCCAGAACACATTAGGTGTTTAATACACAGATATGGAATGAGTATTGCTCATGGGAATTTGTTGTGAGCCAAGCCTAAAAGCAGTCTATATGCATTTTCTAGTCTGTTGGTTGGGCCATGTGACATGAGCCCATGACTGCAAAGATAGTGTAAAAATAGTATCAGTCTTGAGCTCAGAAAGAAGAGGAAAAGATTTGGAAAGACATCAGGCAAAGAAGAATACACTTAGGTCTTATGATAATTCAGAATGTCATTTATATCTGTAGCATGGCAAAAATATAATGACTGAGTTGTTCAGTTAATGAATCAGAACTTTCCTTCCTCAAACTAGGAACCTAACACACCTAACACTTTTCTACAAAGTTGCAATATGCCTGTTCAAAACACTAACTCTTTGGTGAGTGACTCAGTAGGATACTGAGTTTTCATTATATTTGTAATTGAGTTCTTTCTTGTCTGAAAAATATGAAAAAAATATAAAGATAGTTATGTAAATGTAACCAGACATTTAGTCACTTGTTATTTTGGCTAATGAGAAATAACTTCTTGTCCCTAAGAGAAAAGTTGGATATATTTTGCATTATTTGTTCAACTTCAGATACAGATTTTCCATTATCTCTTGTGATCTTTTTTTTTCCTCTGTTGTATTTACTTTTTTTTTTCATGATATTGATTACAATTGAGTGAGTAGGGGGGTAAGTTTGTATTTCTTTGTTAATTTCCAGAGGTTTGAATAATTTTGTTTTTCTAACCTTTTTCTTTTAGGAATGAGATCTTTATAAATAATTGTACCATAAGCGGACCAATTCTAATTTAAATAGTCTGTTGAAACATATCATGTTGTTTATTAAAGCATAAGCTGGAATCTGACTTATGAACACTCATAGAGTTCCTAATGCTGCTTCTAGAATAATTGTGGCAATATATGTTTGTCGAAACAATGTCATTTGTTGCCCTAATATGCTATAATTTGTGAAATAAGATGGAAAATCAATACTCATAGTTACATTACTGTTCAAGATATAATTGTTCATCATATAGTTTTGATTTTAAAAGATAGGGTAGGAAAATATATGTTCACAAATTTGAATCCACCCATTAATGGTTTTGATATTCCTTTTATTAGCCTATATCTCCTAGAAACTCTTAAAAAATGAATCATTTAAATAGGAAAAATTAACACATGTGTGATACTATATTGAAGCATTTCATTACTTCATTACTTTTGAGATGAGATTCATCTCATTTTACCACTTGGAAAATATATATGTGGTTATTGAATTCTGTCATGAACAAGCCCAGTAAATAAGCATTTTTCTCACTAGTACTAAGTAGACCTCAAATAATTAGTTCTACGAAATAGCTATTATTATACAAAACAATTTCCTTGATATCTGTTGTTTCTAGGTAGCCATATTGGTCATACTCATATTTTACTATAAGTACTAGAGTAAATTTCCTTCTAAGTGAGTACAGATGAGAAATTGTGTTTGCTGCTTTCTGGTATTGTGGTTGCTTATTTTTCTCCAGTTCTTTCACTACTGATTTTGTAAAAGATTCCTCGTCATTTTTTTTTTTCCAAAAGGACTAGGTCAAGGGACCTAAAGCACAGAAAATAAGAATGATTTTAAGTTGCTTCCCTAGAGGTATCTAAATTATGCAAAACTCTTGTTCATGTCTGTTAATATTCCAAGGTATAATGCCTTAATACCTTGGATAACAATGCAGAGGATATGGAAAGATAGAACCACTTTATTTTATTATCCTGTTCATTTCACAAATAATTCTGGCCAATGTGTGTCCTCTAATATTTGTATTTGAAGGTCTTGCTTCTGTAGCTTTTTCTTCCATAATTCTCACAACCACCACTCTGAGGCCATATAACAAAAGCTCATACAAGTTTTTGAGAGCAAGCTGCCTGGATTGGCCATTTGCTTTTCTTAACTTGAATAAAAAGACTCATCTCTATAAATTTCTTACTTCACTTTTCTTTTCTATAAAATAGAATTACTTATTTCTGCCTTAAGTATTCAGAAAATTGTATGAAAAAGCATGTGGGATGCTTAGGGAAAAACTCTGATAAAACCTCTGTGACTGTTAGCTAGTGCTATTTTAATTATAATCTGTTTGGGTTATCTGAGTACATATTTAAAGAGTATTTAATGAACTCTTAGTAGTCATTTGTTTATCTTACCACCAAAAAAGCAGCAATTCACAATCCTTAACAGTGAAGACTGGTTGGAAAACGTGAAATAAATTTTGTAGATAAAATTAAATGATTAAAAAAAAGTTAACTGAGCATGTAATGAAATCCGTTTAAATTGCTTCATTTCGATATTTCCTATAAATTAAGGAAGTGGGTATTGTAATTCACAGTTTAGAGACAGAAAATTAAGTCTTAGGAAAGATCAATTAATTTCTTGGGGGATATGTAGACAATATGTGAGCACCTAGAAATCAAACCTATTTTTATATGATATTAAGGCATTTGATATGTAAAACTAAAAGAGGTCTTTGCATAAACTGTGGTTATCTGCTAACCTGTAAAAGTTTGAAACAGGCATCCATCACAATGGGAGAGGAGCTTAGCAGTCTCCACTCTCCTTGAGAAATAATCAGCACTAAGTTTTTGCTGAGGGGAGAGGGGTCAATTTCTCTAAGGGTGTAGTGACTAGTAAAGTTGCCTAGTCTCTAAGTAAATAAACCCCCACCTATGCTCAAACAAACAGAACTAATTATATTCAGTGAATCACAATAGTCATGAAAGTAGGAAAGAGGCTTTTGGGGAATAAGTAAGGTATTCAATGTTGAGTAGAAATGGTATAACATAATAGTGTGAGTAAATACTATTAAAAGTCATTATGTACATTATGAAATTGTCAAGTGAAAAGGCTGCTTAGTCAAAGAATAGGAAAGAATGTGTTTGAGAGATTTAAATACCAGTATTCGAGTTACAATAAGATAAATAAAACTTTTTACTGCTCCTGCTTATAATTTTGTCCTATAAGTATGTGTCTAACAAGGGAATTATCCCTTTTATGGGTTGTAGATGTTGAGAGTACTAGTGGAACCTAATAGTAGTGTTAGCTATGTGACCCTGTCCTAGTGGATGCACATTCCTTAACAATGATTCCCCTATTCATTGGCTGAGGCAAATCATACTTGTATGAACCTCTGTTGTCTATAATACCTTATAGACAGGTATGAGGTAGCATATATTTGTATCAAAGAACATGGAAAAAAAACCAAACTGGTATGAACCTTCATCCTTAGTGTCTCAGTTTTTAGTGCTGAAATGTGTCATGCATGATACCAGAAGAGAAAAGTAATCACCAGACTTGTATACCTACAAAACCTTTGAATCATAATAATGACTGACCTGGAAAGACATCCCTAAAGGTACTATACTGGCACTAACATCAAAGAAGCAACCAACTACTTTCTTATTGGATTTATGACCTGCTCCACCTGATGAAATCCATACCTGGAATGATAATCAAGCAAGATACCTATATTTAAACAGTCCATAAAGTCTCATTGGAAAGCCTACTTATTAGGCTGCTAAATGGTCATAGTAGTAAACCTGCTTCCAATGGCTGTATAACCCATATTATCAGTACATCTCTCAACTCTCATCTCAGAATCTTGTAGTTGTAGTAAATCGTAACTAACTTACCACTACACAATTGACCTAGGTTCAGAGAATAAAAGACTATAGAATGCCCAGTCCTGAATGAAACGTGGATTCTAACCCTTCCTCAACACTCAAAAATATTGTTGAATATGGAGAGGAAAGATGATGATAAAAGTTTACAAGGAAATTCTATCAAAAGTTTACAAGGAAATTCTATCTGTTGGTCACAGAAGAGCACCTTCCATCATAAACACATTACAAATTGGACATGTACAAAACCTGTGTATGCCCATACCAGACCAGGAGAGTTAGCTACACAATCCAGCCCTATCTATAGAAAATTGGCACTTTTTAGCTACAAGGAGAAAAAGACTCAATTTCTCTAAGAGTAAATT